ATAGAACCACACCCTTTAATTAAATACAATGCGGTTAGTGAGGCATCTTCCCAATAAACCTTTGGAACATGCATGTTAATAAGCAGAGAATGGGCTACTTCAAGTAAGTGTTGATTTTTGCTTTCAGGCAACCCCATTATGTTAAGGATGCACACAAGAAGCTTGGAACAAAAATTCCATGTTCAGCAAAATAATTTTGAAGTTCTTTAGAAAATCACCCTATAGCATTATCGTACAATCCCGATCCCTGGTATCCTAGGATCTAGCTTCTTAACTTGTTGAATATACGGATGTTGATCCTAACCCCATGGAACTTTCCACCATATAGCGGTTCGGCATTCCCTGAATTGATCCCACTCCCCCCTCCAACAACCATGGTCACAGGTGTTTTGGGATCAATATCTTGCTAATGCTGTGGTTGAGTCTGTGAATGAGCTCAGAAACTTCATCCAAATACATACCATGTGAGGTTAATATCCTATAATAGCATTACTTCTCAAGCAAAGTTTGTCTTTCATGAGTCCTTTTGTTCTGGTTTGATCTAAAGAGGCTTGTTAAATCAAATTTTATTGTTTGCCAGTTATTTCAAATATAGTTTCACAGGGATGAATCAAAGTTATTGTGATGTTTAAATGAAGGAAGCTTACAACTTGAGCTACACTTCTAAATGTTCAAGTTGCGGGTGCCTGAATCAGAAAGGTGGGATGGCTTCCTTATTGTGTTGGAAGTCCTAGACTGGTTCTACTGAAAGGGAGAGAAAGGTGCATCAAAAAAATTTTGAAATAAAAAATGCCTTGCCAGAAAACAAAAAGAAATTCTTTAGTAAGTCCCAGAGACCAAGAAAGACACTCCCTCTATTACTCTTTCTGGATTTATTTATGTAGTAAAATAAAAAATTTTGGCATGAGGATTAATGGATGATGTTTCTACAAGGTATGCTTGGATCGAGGAGGTTTTTACTCTTTCCAAGGATAATAGCCGACTGACAAATTGGAAGAACGCAGTCCTTTGAGCCTTCAATTGTAGAAGTAATGAAATTCTGTGAAGTTGAGGGTGGGACCTCTTCTGGAATGTCAAGGACTTTCAGGATGGTCTATAAATCGATGTTGATACCCTCTCTTAGCTTATGGAAAAGCACAAAAACAAATGAAAGACCAAAGAGGAAGACAAAGGTTTTTGTTTCGTGCATAAAGTGCGAACCTTTAGGGGTTAGGGAGCAATTACTTGAGTTTCTCTATGTGTCTGCATCATTAGGCTGAAGGTTCGACAAGGGGTTGATATCTTGTTGCGATTTCCTTCTTTCATCTTGTTGGACCTAGTGCTCTATATGTCGTTGTGGTTGCTCGTAGGTGTGTGGTCTAGTATTTTCTATTCGAATTTAAGTTATCCTTTGCACAACTTTTCCGGAAGTTTAGATAACATGGGACATTTTGTTGTCTTTTTCCTCCGGTAGTGTGTTTATGTGGTTACTAGATTGGTAAGTTTGCATGGCCAGAGTGAATGCACACGCTCCTGCGCACAATTCAGCTTGTATAGCTCACAATATTATACATATATATTCTTGTCAGTAGGCTATGAATTACCATCGTGCTTAGATTTGTCTTTCTATTGTTTCGAGGTTAATGAGAAAAATAGAGGCAGAGAATCTAGGTGAAATGGCAGAGGTGGTGGGAGAAATGCCAAGGACAATTGTTTGTTTCATGTCCTTTAGAGTTGGTACCAAATGTATGCACAAAGTACAACTATCAATTGCAGCGTTAAGGGTGATGGGTTGTATTTCTTGATGTGGCATTTTGGAACAATTTGCATGATCAGACAAAATAGGAGAGGACTAGGAATGAAATGAAACACAGCCTGTCATACAATATGTTCATAGGCAAACATTGCATGACATTGACATTTTTTACATAATCCATGCGTCTATTTCCTATTGCACTACCATTGCTTGGTCTACATCAGATGCTAACTTAATACCATCTTCAGTTGCTTTTTTGATAGAAAGTGGAGATAAGAGTTATCTGTTATTGATAATTTGGCTTCATGGGCAGGTTATTCATTTCAAGGGCTCAAGGAAGCGGTTGATGCTTGAATCTTGGAACTTGTTCAACTCATCCTCCCCTGTCAACTTTTTCAATATTTTATGTGTGATATTAAAAAGTGGGAGGACAAAGTATGATTTTTAAGGTCAGGCGTCGCCATGTCCCGTATCCTTAAAATGCGTTTCTTTGCGATGTATTTGTTGGACAAAACATGGTGCATGAATCCGGAATTCTTTCTTGGAAGAGGTTTCTTTTTCTTGGTAATACCCTGTGTGGTGTTTTGGCATGTGGCGCAGAACTTTTCTGGAAACTGGACTGCTGAACAAAATAATTATATACCTAGCAACATCGGGGAGTCGCAAACTAAGGATGGACTGGTATGATGGGGGATTGATGGGAAGCATGTTTTTCTTTTCTTTGAACGCATGAAGAATATGTTGTACCAACACCTGTGGGCTTTCTTGATCTTCACCCATCAAATTTTCTATTTTCTGGACACGATGCCATGGATTTCATATTTCTGCATTTTTTATTTTTGGCCATTTGACTTATGAGAGGGATACTATTAAAAATTGCATATCAAAATGTGTCATTATCCTTTGGAAAAAGTTTATATACGGTTACAGCCTTACCTCTACTTCAAAAATACATTGGAAAAGGTATTTTTAATGTTGAAAAATTCTTTGATTGATCGTCTTGACATCGAGATGCATGAATATTAAAAAAAAAAAGATTTTAACTCTAAAAAATAGTGCATTTTACAACATATTATCTACACCATCTATTTTCAAGATTTTCATATGTTTATAGATCTATTGGATTTTAACTATTTTTGAAATTTAAAATGTTATAATTAGATATAAAAATGGATTTTGAGATAATCTTAAGAATGTTTTATATCAAAATTATATACCATGATAAAATTTGAAGGTGCACCGCAACTTTATACCTACAAATGCATCTGTATGTCAACTGCACCCTTATCCATTTTGTATCTGTCCAAAGCACACCTAATAAAATATATTTTGGATAATGAGTTCGAAACCTATGGGAATTAAAAACGGGCTGTGAATGCGGATTTCGAATTCTCGAGGCCAATATCATGGCAAGCCTTGAAGAGTCCTTATCAATCTTCGCAAAACCGGTCGGTCCAAATTGGAACCGGCCGGTTAGATCGGTACCGGCAATGTAACGATTCCGGTTGGGGCTGGTTTTGCGGTACTACACAATAGACGTTCATTTCAAAAAAAAAAAATTGATACAAAAATTGGTCAATTCAATGTCGCATTGGTGGTATTTTCAAAAAACCGACCGGTTTTCAGCTTACCAGATCGGTTTGTCATTATAATGACGTTTTATGGTAAATAACTGTCACGTATAAATAATGGCATTATTTTAAAATTCAAACCGTTATTTGTAGCAGGAAAAACTGTGAATTCAAATTTCACTATTTTTTATTTCGGTTTGCGGCCATATTTTGGTTTTTTTTCATGTTTTAATGGTTTAAATCACTATATAATGAATCTAAAACAATCAAGTTGAATTTAAACATTGAAAAAAATGAGTTTCTTGGATTGAAATGACAGATTTTTTAGGTTTTTTAAAATTTCTGCAATTCTTTCAATAATATCCTCACTACCAATCTTGGATTGAAATGGCAGATTTTTTAGGTTTTTGAAGAAAGTTGAGGGGTTTTATTGCTATTCGAAGTATTTACTAGATTCAAGTTTGAATTTGTTCATAAAACAAAAGAAATCAAGGGTTTATTTTAACCCGAATGGTTGCTGCTCCAAGAACTTGTGTTCTACCAAAAAACATGGATTTTTTGTTGATTTTTTGGTTGTTTTTTATCAAATTCAGTTGTGTATTTCGATAATTGAGGCTTCATAGGTCAAATAAAATTTATATGTTTATTTGTTATAGAGTAAATTTTTTTATATCAATTTTTTCGTTGCATCATATAACGAAAATTTCATAGATCTTCAATTTTCGCCTTTTCTTGAATTAAAAAAAAATATCGAATATTTTTTGATGAAATTTAGTGCGTTTGAAAGATTATCGAAGCTTTTACAATGCAGGTATGTTTATTTTTTCGATTATCCAAACATTGAGGGTCATTTCAAGCTTGAAATGTGGCTTCATTTTTGGGGTTTTTGAAAAGTCAATTTTTCTAAAAATGATATTTTGTTTAAGAAAATTATGTTTTTTGATGAAATTGAGAAGTGTTTTTCTATTTTCTTAATAAATTATTTTTAATAGAATTATGATTTTTTAATAAACTTACTTTTTTTTGATGAATATGGGAAGTGTTTTTCTATTTTGCTTAATAAAATTATTCCTTTGATAAAATTATTTTTTTGATGAAATTGATTCTTCTTTTTGATAAGTGCATGATAATGTCGCTCGATTTTTTTAATTATCATTTTTTTTAAGTTGATATATTTATATTCGTAATGATGGAAATGGGATATTTTGTATTTTTAAGTGCATGTAAAAATTATGGCTGCCTTATGTTCAATGAAACACTATACCGTCTTGTATGTGCTTTGTTCTTCTTCGTTTTATTTATTTATTTATTTTGTTCATTCTCTATCAAGTTTTTGGAATGTTATGGAAAGAGCGTTTAAAAGATCAGCCATTTTTTAAAAAATCGGCCTACTAACTCGGGATTAGTCACTGGTCGATCCTGATCTGGCCTGATTCCAAAAAGAGAGAGAGAGAGAGAGAGAGAGAGAGAGTGAGAGTAGTATACAATATACTATTACAATCACTCC